TAGTTTCTGATTCTTGTGTGAGACTCAAGCCTTCAAGTTTAGGTCTGCTTCTTTTTGTCAATGTATATGTCTTTGTGGGTTTTTTTTGTGCATGAAAATCTGGTTTGTCTAAGCTTCCAGTTCTTTCCTTTGATTTTATATTGGAGTGGTCAGATTGCTTTTGTCTTCAGGAGTTCCCACAGAGGCCCAAGTCAGATAAGGATCAGATGCTCTCAGGCTTTCTTCTAAGGTTTGCATCCCTCCAGTAAAGATTTTGGCCTCAGAAATTTGGGGGTTGGACTGGCCTGGGAGCGGGGCCCAGGAAAGGTGCTGGTCTAGGGCAGCTGGCAGCCATGCCACCCAGAGATGCAAAGGGCTCCCGGGGACTGCACTGAGGAACCAGGTTGGTCTGAATGCAAAGGATCGGGAAGCCAAAAGGTCAGCCCCCATGTCCAGGAAAGAGGCTGGTGGGTTGTGCAGCCCAGGGAACCAGAGGGAGGTGAGTGCAGGACCAGGCCCAGAGGGCTCCTGGGGACCAAAGAAGGCACTGAGTTGGTCTGGATGCAAAGGATCAGGAAGCAGTGGTAGTTCCCCCGGTGTTTGGAGCGCCAAGACAAGGAATGTGACGGGGCCCAGGCTAGGAGGAGAGACAGGCAGGGGAGATGAGAGGGTGAATGAGGCTGGGGGAGTTCTCAATAGTCTTTTTATAAAAAGCTCAATAATACCAGACATGAAAGGGGTAGTAAGGTGAGGTGAAGAAGGGGGAGAGATTCTGAATATGATCAAACACATTATGAAATTCTCAAATCAATAAAATTATTGTTTAGAAAAGCTGTGGCACTGAGGCTCACTCCTAGTTATTTGGGAGACTAAGGCAGGAGGGTTGCTCAGGTCTAGGAGGTTGAGAGGAACCTAGGAAACATAACTGTCTCACAAAGGAAGGAGAATGAGGAGGAAGAGGAGGGAGAAAATGATCTATAATTTGCCTAGCATATGGAAGGTCCTACATTCAATTCCAAAAGAGTAGGGAGGGTGGAAGTTTAGAAATCCATATACTCTGATCCACATGTAAATTAGTGCAGCCACTATGGAAACCAGATTCTTCTAAAACCGTTCTTAACAGAATTGCCTCATGATCCAACAATTGTGGTCTGCAGCATATACACAAAGGAACTAAAAAGTTTATCTGTAGCCTTATTCTCAACAGTCAAAATATGAAAACACCCTAAGTATCCATCAGTGAATTAATAAGGAAAATGTGGCATATACAAACAGTATTAAACTATTCAGCCCTCTCAAAATAAATACCATTTTTGTGACAAAGTAGATGAACCCGAAGGACATTATGCTCCCTGAATAATAACACTTTGATGTGGAATCTAAAAGAGTAGAAAAAGATAGCAAGTAGTGGTCACCAAAGGCTGAGGAGGGACTTGGGGATGGTGGTCAAAGGGTATAAAGTTTAATTGGACAAGAGAAATAATTTAAACAATCTATTGCAAACTCTGGTGATCATACCTAGTAATATTATGCATTTAAAACCAATAAAAGGGTACATTTTAAGTGTTTTTCACCACAAAAAAATAAGTAGGTAGGAGATATGACTAGCTTGATTTAATAATTCTAGGATTATATAAATATATTTCAATTGTCCATTTATAAAAGCAATCACTAATATCAGAAATGTTAGACAACCAGGGAGCTTTCTGCAAAACATGATGGTGGAGAGTAAGTATATGGTGGAAGATGGCTCTTCACCTCATAGTATCAGAAAGCAGAGAGAGGAGGCCAGGGTCCCAATACCCAGTATATCCTTAATGATCTGACTGCAGTGAGTACCTCATTCTAAGTTTTCCTCCACCTTCTGGAGCACCATCAGCTGGGGATCAGGCCTTCAACACATGAGCTTTTAGGGAATCATCAAGATCTGAATCATAATGGAATATTCTTGTAAGTTTTTACACTGATCATATAACCTCCTAGTTCAATGATCTTTGATAACCCCTAATTTGCAAAGGTCTCTAGGAAAGAATTCTATTGTCAAGGTATAAATAACATAGGAGAGTGTACTGTGCAAAGGAGTCAAACAGAACTAAGTCTTGAAACTGCATCCAACCCATACTAACAATGTAACAATAGTAACTTTTACCTCTCTAAGACTCAAATTCCCAATGAGAAAGACAGAGACAGTAAGACAGAGTAAGAAAATAAGGGCTGTCAAGATGGCTCTGCTTTACCTGGATGCACACATTAGATAAAATTGTAAACTTTTAATGAGATTTTGGGGCTGGAGAGATGGCTCAGCAGTTAAGAGTACTGGCTGCTCTTGTAGAGGACCCAGGTTTGATTCCCAGCACCCACATGGTAGCTCACAGCTGTAACTCCAGTTCCAGGAGATCCAACACCCTGTTCTGGCCTCTGTGGGCAATGCACTCATGTGGTACACTTACATACATGCAAATAAAACGCTCATACAGATAAAAATATAAATAAAATTAGGATTTTAATAGAAAAGCCAGGTAATCCCCCTATCAGGAGGCTGAAGCAGGAAGACCACCAAGACCTACAGGCCAGCCTAGGCTGCTACATTGTTATGTGCACCAAGAGGTCTTTTCCCCCCTTTCCACTTTATGTTACCCAGGCTAGTTTCAAATTGTGGGCTCAAGTGATCCTCCTGCCTCAGTCTCCCAAGTAAATGGGAGAACAGGTGCATACCACCATGCCTAGCCCTACTACACTCAAAATGCCTCGAGGACAGATGTTTGAACTTTACCTTAGTATCTTCAATGCATCTCATAAGGAAGAGATGTATTCCACCCAAACAGTAAGACATACTTCCTTCCTGAGCATAAGAACTCTACATTTGTCTACTAAATTCTATTGTATAATCTTGTGTGATTTATCCATGTTTTTAAAGTTCCTTTTAGAGTGAAAAAGTAAAAAAGAAGCAAAACAGAGAATTATCGCACTGCATATACCACATCCTCCCCTAGCACCTACACAGGCCTACACAGGGATGCAGTCACTGTTCCCTGAATTTTGTTAATTGTATCAGACTGAATACCTGTTGTGATATAAATTTTTAGCAGAAGAATCTATCAGGAGGATTGATGTGGGGGGAAAGTGCTCATAAAGCATTGTTCCCGAAACAAAATTGGTCCTTGATAGATGGTAGCTTATAATAACCATCCATATTACATGAATTTGTCTAACTGTAATTATTTACCCCCCTGGAGATCCAGAGGCTCTCAGCCACCTTTTAGAAAGTTTTTACAAAGCAGTCTTTCAAAGAGATCCCAAAGCCACGGGAATTTAGAGATGCTCCAGCCAAGTAACAAAAAGCTGGTTCCTCCACTCTAGAGTATTCAGCAGGACAGTGGCCCTAGGAGAGGCCAGGACCTTCCTACCATGGTGCCCCTCGCCCGCCCAGGATGAGTGACGGCAGACCTCCGGGCCTTTCCTGGACCCCATGGCTCGGTGCGCAGAGCCCAGAAGGAGCAGAGTTTGCAGGTGGAAACTGTTTTCCTGTCCTCGAAGAGCCTTGAGGTCAAGCCACCAACAGCGGACAGCAGCCACGTGAAGTGCACCGAGCTGGTCATCCGTACTTCCTAGGCGGCCCTCCGGGCGCACCCCAGCCCACCCCTCTCCCTCTGCAGTGCGCGCCATCCTGGTCCAGGCCCTCGGGACTTACGCACAGCGCCCCCACGCCGCGCCGCCGGCCTCCCCCTCCCACTAGGCCAGGTCGCCCAGCTCCGAGCCTGCGCCGCCGCCGCCACCGCTAGGGGGAGTGAGTCCCCGACGGGAAACGTGCCGCAGCTCCCGCCGTGATAACGCGCCTTCCAACTTCAGCTTTCTGCGCCCTCTGCCCGTCTCTGAAGAGCGGAGGGGAAGATGGAGACTGAGTCCCAGGCGGTGAGTACCGAGGTCCAAGCCCAGGGCTCGGCGTAGCGGGGAGAAGGGACGCCAAGGACGCGCTTTGGAGCCCAAACGCTCGCTATTCGGTTGGGAAGAACGCGCAGCCAAGAGCGGGCCGTGGGGTGTGAGTGGGGAAGGGGCGGTCCCGGCCTGGATGGGGTGGGGTAGGGCGGGCAGACGTCTCGGAAACAGCCCCGGACTGCGGGGCAAAGCACAGGTGCCTCAGCCCTCCGCACCCCAGGAGAGCCATGAACGCTTTCCCGCCCAAACTGCAGAGCCTCGACGCTGGCCCTTCTCGCTGCCCGCGGCCATGAGCTGTGTGGCGGTCGAGGCTCCTAGAAGGCCTGAGCTGTGTGGCGGACCCCTGAGGCCCAGGCCCCGGCGGGCGCGACCACAGCGCTGCCCACCGACAAGACACCGTGAGACCTGGGTCTGGCCCACGGGGCAGCGCTCTCTAACGTGCCGCCGCGCGTCCCTCCGGCGTCCGCAGGCAGCCAATCAGCGGGCGCCAACGGAGAGCCGCGGGCCGCTGCGCGTGAGGTGGCTGGCGCGGTAGGTGCCGTTGAGGGTCCACGCCACCGCTGCTGGCGGGTTTGCCCGGCAAAATTTCTCGCTGGCTGGCCTTCTTTTCCCTCCCGCACGTTGGTGGGGAGGGGGTGGAGCCTTGTGTCAGTGCCCAGGTTCACGATGACCACAGAGAAGCCGAGGAAGTTGTCAATACAGCCATTTTCCCCAGAGCCTCAACCTGCTGGCCGCAGAGGGGAAGGAGCACCGAGGCCGTGACTGTGACGGTTAGCCCACCTCTTCCAGTTTTTGCAAAGGCAATGGTCCATTTCAAGGTTAATTCCCAGAGAAAGAGGCAGTGAGGGCACAGTACTTTGGAAGATATCTTAATAAACTCTTTAAGGGTCAAGTTTTACGACAAAGCAGAGGACCCATACTTACAGTCCAATCGCAGCAACTATTTGTGCTTTCAAACAGTTGTACAGTTATTATAAGTGTATTGCCAGCATGTGTGTAAGTGCAACTGTTATGCAATGCACGTAGAGGTCAGAAGAGGGCCTCGGATCCCCTGGAACTGGAGTTACAGAGGGTTGTTAACCACCATGTGGGTGCTGGGAACCAAACCCAGGTCCTCTGCGAGAGCAGCCACTGCTCTTAACTGCTGAACCTTATCTCCAGCCCCTCAATTGTACAGTTACTGTCAAAGTAGAGGCTTCCTTTGTGGTCAATCTCTATAAAACTTAGGTGTTACCTCTCTCTACCTGAGCCCTTTTTCTGCTGACATTAAAATATTTTTTAGAATATTATTCATATTATATAGTCCAGCCCTCATCAAAATGTTCAGCATATGCTGGTCAGGTCTCTCCTGAAACAGTGGTCCATTTGTTCCTTCAATAAATACTCATTGTACACCACTGTGAAATGTCACTAGTTTAGATGCTGCTGTGATTTTTTTTTTTTTTTTTTTTTTTTTTTTTTTTTTTTTTGGTCTTTTTGAGACAGGGTCTCTCTGTAGCCCAGCTGTCCTGGATTCACTATGGAGACCAGGTTGGCCTCGAACTCACAGAGATCCGCCTACCTCTGCTGGGATTAAAGGTGTGTGCCACCACGCCCAGCCACGCTGGCGCTGCTGTGATTTTTTAAAAAGCAAACCCACTGCCCTCCTGAATATTACATGATTTTGCAGAATGACAGATAAATGTAACTAAATATATGTTATGTTAGAAAATGGTAAACAGTAAAACGAAACATTAAACGGTTGACAGCAAGAATCTTAAAGGCAAGAAAATGAAGTAAATTGAGTACAAAAAATGTTTCTCTTTTTCAGCAAGTATCCCTCAGTTCTCAAATGAAAAGACATCCCTCATCTTTTGGTTTATTTCATCTATCTCTTACAGAAAAATAATGGAGTTTGTCTTTTACAAAAACTTGAGAACAAATTAATTCATCCATTGAACTCTATTTTTAGAGGAATTTTGTGAATACTTTTTTAATTTAGCAAATAATTTCTATACTAAAAATAAATGGGCCGAGAGGTTATATCTATCAGAACTGGCAGATTCTCTTTGGCAATACAAATCCACAGTTGAAAAATAAATATTAATAAGCATCCAGGAATCATTCATTTTTCCTTGAATTACTTATTCTGAGCGCTACATCTTATTGAGTAAGGCAACCAAAGTTACAAATAATCCTCAAGTGCTCAGGGATGAAACTAGGTTGTATTTCCAATTTCTTTGGTTGGAAGTTACAACATAATAAGTAGATGGCTTTTCTGCAGTATAAAGGAAGTAGATTTATGAACAACTCGTTAAGGAGTATTTGTTTTCCTCCACTTAAAACTTCATTAAGGGGCTGGAGAGATGGCTCAATGGTTAAGAACACTGTTCCTGCAGAAGACCCGGGTTTGAATCCCAGCACCCACATGGTAGCTAACAACTGTCCGTAACTCCAGCTCCAACGCCCTCTTCTGACCTCCCCTGGCATTTCACAAGATGGGTGCAGTTACATACATGCAGGCAATACACTCATTCACATAAAATAAAAATAATAATTTTTTTAAAACTACACAGGGAAAAAGGTCCACCCTGTAAGCAGACTAGCCTACTTCTCTGTACATCTTTCAAGATTATGTCTTTATTGGCCGGAAAAGTGAAAAAGGAAAAATGTGTAAATGAACTACTATGCTATCTAAATTGAAGCTTCTTTTCATGTGTTTCTCAGCAAATTAGAATTATCGCCTTTAGCCTTCTGTTTAGGACTTATTTAGTATGCTAGACTGTCTCAGAGGTCTGTTTGGTTTTCTCAGAAGGAAAACAATGATCAAGTTTTGAATAGGCTTCTCTTTGTCTGCTCTCAAGTCTTGAGCTGTTTGGGGCTTTGTTTTTATGTTGTTTTTTAGTTTTACCTTATAATCTATTTGCTTGCCATTGTGCAAGGGCTTATGCATTTATGTATTTTTGTTTCAAACCTTCTGACTTAGAATTGTGAACATACGGGTATATAGTGAGCTCAGTTTTTTAACGTAAAATTTTATACTTATGTGTCTAGATGTGTAATTTTTTTGAGACAGGGTCTAACTGTGTAACCCTAACTGGCCTAGAACTTTCTATGTAGGCCAGGCTAGCCGCAAACTCACATCAGCCTGCCTCTGCCTCCTGAATAATGGAATTAAAGGTCTGTTCCACCATGCCTGGCTAGATATATGATTTTTAAAAAATCAATCCAATTTTCAAATATGAACATGCATTTAAAAATGTGGCTTTCACCAGGCGTGGTAGCACATGCTTGTAGTTCCAGTACTTGGGAGGCAGAGGCAGGCTGATCTTTATGAATTTGAGGACAGCCTGGACTACATAGCGAGTTCCAGAACAGCTGGGGCTACAGGGAAACCCTGTCTCAAAAGACCAAAAAAAAAAAATGTGACTTTCCAGCTAAAGTTTATTACTTTTCCCATACTCTTTAGGCAAAGATAACCAGGAACATATCTGTAATTAAATTGTGTCTATTGTCACTAGAAATTGGAAGAAAATACACAATGGAGCCTCTCAAGATCTTAACAACTTAACTTGTAGGATTTAGGCATAAGAGATATTTAGAGAGTCAGGTAGAAGAGCTTTACTTGGAATGCATGTTATAAAGAATAGGATCATTTCTACAATTGTGTGTATTATCTAAAAAGCAAGAAAAATGGGTTGAGGCCAAGGCCATGATTGGTAAAGTAGGAGCCGTTACTCATATCATCCAAGATAAAGGGATGTTCCGTGATTCTTATGCTTTGGACAATGCTTTTGTTTCTATCAGTATTCAGACACGATTAAGGAATGTTTGTTTTTATCTTGATCCATCATAATTACAGAATGACCTTGTCTGATTCCATTCTGTTAACAAGAGAACACACTGCCCAGCTGTGAGTGCCAGGCCAACTTCTAACAACACAGGACCAAATGGTTGTACCAAGCCATCTCCCAGCTATCTGGGGCTGCTTTTCTCTTTTTCTAACTTCTTTGTGTCTAGTATTTCTTACCTAACAATCAAATAATATATCCAATAATTTCTGTAATTATATTTGAGTACTACATCTAATAGTTAAATACTTCTCTAGAGTGGGGCACATTGTTTTATTTTGCTCCTCTCCCCAAAGCTATTAGCTCTTACTATAATATTATAATTTTAGAATAAAAGTCAAGTCCAAGATACTGCATTTTGCCTAAATGACTCATTTTTTTTTGAAGAAATGTGTTTATAGCCTGAATTAAAACTTACATTCAAGCCGGGCATGGTGGCACAGGCCTTTAATCCCAGCACTTGGGAGGCAGAGGCAGGTGGACCTCTGTGAGTTCAAGGCCAGCCTGGTCCACATAGTTCCAGGACAGCTGAGGCTACAGGGAGACCCTGTCTCAAAAAAACAAAAAAAAAAAAAAAAAGAAAAAAAAAACTTACATTCAGTGCTAAAAGTTTAAAAGAGTTTTATTTTACAGCAAACATCAAATCAGACGCAAACCGATTCATTATCTCCATCCCCTAATCCTGTATCACCTGTGCCTTTGAATAACCCAACAAGTGTCCCAAGATATGGAACTGTGATCCCTAATCGCATCTTTGTAGGAGGAATTGACTTTAAGGTACCTATTTGTGTGTGCAACGTTGGTGGCTAAGGAAGGGTTTTTTTGTTTTGGGTTTGTTTTGGTGTTTTTTTACATTAGAAGTTATTTCGTCTTTTAGCAATTATTTCCTTATGCAACTATAAAGACATTTGTATGTTGGTTTTTAATTGTCTTAATTACAAAGAATCTTTTCAACAATTGTATAGCTTAATCATGTATAGTTGTCCAATTTCACACTGGACAAGGAAATTGAGGTTCATTCACTTGCTATTGGCTCATGGAGGCTTAGGATGAGACTAGAATCTATTTTTCTGACTCATTGGCCATATTCTTCATTCTTCAGCACACCTCACTTATTATACTTTATTCTGTAATACTCCAATTGCCTAGATAATAGATGGTTTCAGTGTTCGAATGAAAGCCTAATTTTTTTCAGTCTTATAAAAACCCTGTTTCTTTACCCCAGTTTTTATCTTAGTTTCCTGAGCAATGTCCTAGGCTTCAGTTTGTTGAAAATAATTTTCTTTCATAAGATTTATAATATGATCATCAAAAAGGGCCTTGTCAGAATAAAGCATCTATCCAACAATGGACTTAATCATGAAATCATCTCTCTCAACTTTTTTCAGAGAAGTGTAGTGAAGATGGTTTGCAGCACTCCATGTAAGAGGTAGTAGATGTGTATATGGAAGGCATGCAGGAATATTTTATTCAAATACCCTTTCTTAAGCTGAAGATACAATTCTGTGGTAGAGTGTTTGCCTAGCATATGAAAGGCCTTAGGTTCAGCCCCCAGGACTATGCATAGACACATTCACAGAAAACCTTAGAAATGCATTTATAAAATCATGTCTAAGTTTATATATCACATATTAGAAGTTATAGGGAGAGATGTTCTGTAACAAAAGGTACCATTATGATAGCTGACATGCCTCACTTCCATATAATCAATCTGTCACAATTTACATAGAATTACTTTTTCTCTTGCTTAAGAAAAATGTGGTAGTGTATTTGCCAAAATAATGAGTCTCAAATATGTGATTATTTCACTATTAAATACTTTATAAAATACTTATTTTTAAAAAAGATTTTCTGTACCTATAGGAAATATGGGTATTCCTATTTGGAATTCATTTATATTAAACAGCTTAGTATATTCTTAAATGCAAACATTTGTGTGGCAGATTATTCTTAAGTTACTAAAGCAAATCAAAGACAATATGAATTTTAGAGGCCATTGTTTCTGCACAGCCAAAGCATTAAGGTAAACTTTAGAGTCCCATCCCTTGGGACTTATGTCTTTTATAAAACCACAAATAATTGACAGCAAGGACATGGTTCACCGGAGTAGCAAGCAGTCTCACACTTTTTAAACCTCTTATCTTACAAGCAATCCCTTTAAGTGTTTAACCATCTTGTCTTCCTTCTCACTCCACAAAGTTGAGTTAGTGATATGTCTCCCAGGGAATAATTTGAATTTTTTTAAGTATCTAATAGCAAGCCTTATTCTAGCATTGATTAAACTTTTTGTTTGTTTAAATAAAAAGAACTGAGCCAGGAGTGGTGGCACACACCTTTAAATCCAAGCACTGGGGAGGCAGAGGCAGGCAAATCTCTTATGAGATTGAAGCCAGCTTGGGATGGTCTACATAGCTAGTTCCAAACCAGCTTGGGCTACATAGTGAGACCCTGTCTCAAAAAACAAAACAAAAAAGAATTTATTCTTAGATTTTGTGTCTTTCATTGTCCAATTTAAGTAACAAATAGCATATTTAAGTAAGTAAGCTAGCATTGGAATTCAACATGCATAGCTAAGCTCTAGGGCCTCTCTTTTACTTACATAGCTATTGCATTTTTCTCCCCTAGGAAAACTTTAAAGTTACTCTTGGAGGCAAACAGTTGCAATTCAACCTGAAAATAAAATTGCAATGAATTTACTGTAATATTCTTGGAATAAAGTGTGTCTTATCAGACTATTTCAAATAAAACAAGATATTCCTGAACCATTTTTGTATATATCTTGTACATTATGTCTATTATCCTAATTTTTATTTTGAATATCATAATGGCTCTACTTAGCTAAAATGTATGTTGAATAAAATAATAACTTTAAATCTTATAAGCACTTCATAACTTGTTATTGCAGATTCAGGTACTTTGGAAAATATATTCCTTTCCTAAGACCTGACTCTCCCGATTATCATAAAATGATCAGAATAGGATATCATAACCTAGTTCAACTGCTGCAGTTGCTGTCCTCCCCTTGAGCCAAGAGCCAATAGTAATATGGCCTATGGTTATAGTATACCTAATCCAAATCAACTTTTAAAAAACTAGCCAAATGAGAATGAAACACTAAAAGATTCCTTTAAATAGTTAGCCTTCTTTATAGTTTTAGGATACTTCAGTTTAAAATTTTTTGGTTAGTATATAGTAATTTAATAATATAGCTACTACATGAAGCAAGGTACATAGATTTTATAACTTAGTGGTTTTATCTCTTGTTGTAATGATGATAAGTATTCTTCAGCTATTAATTAGCCACATTTTTCTCTGTCTCCACAAGATTCCGAGTTGTTTCATCTTTTATTGATTAAAAATCTTTCTTGATGTTTTGTTTTTATATCATTAGACAAATGAAAATGATTTAAGAAAATTTTTTTCCCAGTATGGGTCTGTAAAAGAAGTGAAGATTGTAAATGACAGAGCTGGAGTATCCAAAGGGTTAGTATTATTGCAGATAATATATGGAATTACCAACTGTATTTTATTGTATTATTAGTTTTATATGCTAATTTACTTTTTTCATTGTTTGATAGAAAATATTATGCCCTCTTTTTCTCTTCTATGTGTGTTGGTGGGGGGAGTGTAGGGTACAGAGAGATTCTTTAATATTCCTTGACTTGGACATTTATTCTTGCATGGGTTCAATGTAATATGAGAAACAACGTTGAGGAGCAAGTATATAGTAGCTAAAGCAGCAGAAGCTAAAGGATCAGATACTCTTGGAATTATATTCTCATTTTAAACTATAAGAGTATTTTTTTAAAAATAGCTGGCCCCAAAGAATGTAAGTTGTACCTCGGAACCTAATTAAGGGACAAGTGAGAAATGCTACTCTAATAATAATGACTAATTGTCAAATTAAAAAGAATGAAAAATTGAGAAAAAAATCAAGTAAACTGTGCCCGGCAATATATAGAGCTGCTTCAGGATTTCTGTGTGTACAAAATACAAATTTCAGAGAGGAAAAGGGTAGTTTGCATGATGCATTCACAAAGGAGAACAAAATACTTCCTCAGACTGCCAGAGATACTAAGATGAATAGAGATTATATCTTTTTTGTTTGGCTAGGAGAACTTACATTATTTTGGTAATGATTGCTTTTTATAATTGGAAAACGCAGGAAGTCAGGTATATAATCCAACATCTGGAAGACTGAAGCAGGAGGACTGCAAGTTGAAGGCCAGCCTGGGCTACATATAGAATCCCCCTCCAACCAAAAACTAATAATAAGTCTGGGAATGTTGCTCAGTGGTGTAGATAGCACTTGCCTAGCATGCACAAGGCCTTGAGTTCATCCCTGGCACCCCTGAATAGGGTGGGTGGGAGCAAAGGGAAAAAAAGACAAATAAGATGGTAAATTAGAAGGTGAATTTGTGTGATACAGTAAATAAGAAGAATCAGGCTAACAAAGAATAAAGTCTATTCCAATGAGAGAAAGATTAGAAGAACATTGGAAATCACAAAGGGGATAACAGGACAGCTGAAAAGATCAGAGAAACAGAATAGTGGCCCAGTGAAAAGAAGCAAAATCTCATCCACAATGTAAGCCAAGTGGTCTTGGCAAAAAAGACTGGCAATCCAACCAATGAGACAAACCCATGATGTTCACAACCCTCAGATCCAGTTGGTGCATTAGGTGAGACAGTGACTCCTCTTGTGTGAGTATGTGTAATTCAAGGAAAGGTTTATTTTGTCACCCATGTCTCAAGACATCTGGGCCAGGTACCGTCTTGAAAAGGGGCTATTGTTTAAGACAGCTATTCTAGGGTGTTGTTAATAGGAAGTAGTTGTAAGACAGGGAGCCAGAGAACAACCTGCCCTAGCACCTGGGTGGGAGAGAGCCATGGAGGCAAGTGTAGAAAGGGGAAAGGCTGAACACAGAAAAGTTCAGGCAGCAGAGGGCTCCAGCAGTATAATGGTCAGGAACCCTACCCTCTGTGGCTAGGAGCATACCCTGTCACTTGAGAATAACAGTGGAGATTGATCACTGTGAACCAGAGACTAGCAGGTACTCCAACCCTTGGATCCACCTCTCTACCATGTGATTTGACTGTTGGCAGTCTGGAGGAGTTCTGAAGCTCAGGTCAAGCAGAGCCCTCAATTTCTGAGGCTTCCTCTTTCCCATAGGGCGATTGATGCTGAGCAGGATTTGAAAAGATCAGTCCTTCAGTATACATCTCAGTGTTCGGTTTGCTTTTCCCACGCCTGAAAATACCCATGAACAAACTTAGGCATGGTGGCACACGCCTCTGATAAAGCACTCAGGAGACAGAGGCAGGTAATCTCTGTGATACTAAGGCCAACCTGGTCTACATAGAGAGTTCTAGGCCAGCTGGGGCTATATCCTGTCTCAGAAAAACTGAAACAAAAACTTAAGAACACTATTTGGTTTAGATGTTACCAACAGCAGGGTATACAAACTAAGGAGTGTCTGGAGGATGGAAGAACCTTCCTGGCCCACAGGTACAATGCTAACTGTGGCCATAGAGGCTCCTGGTACTCAAAGGGAAGATCCTAAAGTGAAGACAGTCCTGTGGGACATCTTGAGACTTGGCCACTGCAAGCTCAGCATTAGCCTAAAGGTTAGGAAAGACAGATGACTCCATCTTCAGCTGCCCACTACCCTTCTCATATTAGAGAGCCATAAAGATACCACTATTTTGTCTTGGTTTCTTTGTTTGGGCTCTTGTGTTTTCATCTCTTTTTCTTTTTTACTATGGCTTAGTATTTTTGCTTTATTTTTTAAAAATTTTATCTTTTATTCTTACATTTAATTTTTATACATTTTCCTTTATTATGCAATCAGGATAATTGCTCTTTTCTCTCTTCCTTCATAACATGCTTCTCCATCTACTTCTCTTCCCTTTCTTCCATTTTATCTTTTCTTTTTCCCTTTTCCCAGTCCCCTTTCATTATTTCTGTAATTTCCTATTTCTATTTTTACCCTAAGTTTCTAACTTAATAGCTTACAGTACATTATTTTTGTCACTTTCTGTTTTGTGGTCATTAATGGTATATTAGTTGGCTTTAATATATGTTAAGTATATTTCTCTGTCTGCCTTGGTTTGGTGTTGAGGAGTTGTAAAAGCCATTTGTTTTCTCCTTTCTGAGTTACGGTACTGAGGATTGAACCATCCAGAGAAGGCTGCTTATGAAAAAAAGTTCATTAAAAAATTGGAAGAGATACCCATTACTAGAGATGCAGAAATTACAACACAGAAATATAAGAAACACGAAAAAGCAAGGCAACATGAGGCGTCCAAAAGATTATAACTGTTCATTATCAAATCTGAAAACACTGAAATAGGTAAAATATTTGAAAAATAATTTTTAGAATCTTGTAAAAATGACCAGTGATATCAAAGAGGATCCAAAAAAGCACATAAGGTAAGGAACTCAGTTCAGGACCTGAATAGCAAAACTGGGAATACACAAGAAGAACTCAGCAACATGGATGAGAAATTCTGCAAGGAAGTTGAGATTATAGGGGGGAAAGTAACATAAATGTTACAAGTAAAAAATTCGATAAATCTAAAACACAATGGAAAGCATCACCAATAGACTAGACCAAATAGAAGAAGGAATTTCAGGATTTGAAGATAAGGTCAAGGAAATTATACATTCAGATATTAGTAAAGAAAAAAAACACAGAAGCATGACCAAAACTTTAATGGACTCTACAACATGATCAAGAAACCAGTCATGAGACTCCATGGGAGACTTCCAAGTAAGATGGCAGATTAGAAACTTCTTCCATGCAGCTCAAAAAAGAAAATAAGATAATACACAATAGTCTTTATTCCTGCAAGAGACAATAGCTATTTTTAAAACTTACACGCTAGATGAGGACTCTTCAGGAAAGCAGGAAAGATCACCATTGGAAAGCAGTGGCAGTGAGGTCAGTGACAGCTTCTAGGAAGTGCTTCCCCTCGCACCAGACAAGAGGAACAGTTAACTAGACCACTCAGGATTGGATACATAAAGGCTTTGAAGCAGAGTTCAGGTTTGCATGTTTTGCTGAGGTCAGTAGAAACCACCATAGAACAGTTGACACCCTATGAACTGGTACCAGAGAACAGTCAGAGGGAAGAGCTTTGGCAGAGCCAGGAATCCATGGACCAAGGCCCTGTACATCTACACTGGTAAAGAGTAAGGATTGGCCAAAGTATGACTCTAGGAGCCTGAGGCAGGCTGCCAAGGCTGCCACTGACATCATTGGGAACTCACAGCAAGGGCTTTCACCGTTCCTCCCACCCCCAGCACTGCTGAATCAAAGAGCACATCAAGGAGGCACCTGAGAACTACACTGCTCAACTTAGTACGGTTGTATCAGAAATTTGGTCCAAAAGGCCTACATTCTCCAGGGGCAATATATCTCCAAATCTGATTTTAAAAATTGAACTGAAATTGCTTAATTGTACCTCTCCTGTCAGCACATTGTACTATATGAAATATCACAGGGAAGAAGAGAATTTAAAGTCCATCCCACCAAAAACCAAATATTAATGTGATTTTTAAAAACATCTAATATAGTTTTGTTATACTTTGTCTTTTTGTTGTTATTAGTTTTACTTTTAATTTTTTTACTTTTTAATCCTCAGTCTTGCAGAAGTGTCTTGTAGTGGTCTTGCTTTAGTTTGTGTATTGCTTGGTTAGATTGTATGACTTGTGTATGCTTCTTTACTCATTCTGGTATTGTATATTCTCTATTCCTACATTCAGCCCATACAGTTTTCCTCTGATTTTTCTTACTCTTTCTCTCTTCCATATGCCCTCTCCTTTTTACTTATTTGCTATAACCCTCCAAAACTTTAATAATCCCTGAACTCTAAAAATTTCCAAAATTTCCCCTCCCAGATATTTTCCCCCCTCAGTTTCTTTCTCACCCAGTCTAATACTGATCCCTATCATTGCAGACCCCAGACTACAGTCCCTCCATTCCTAATCTTAGTAACTAATATCTTGGTTATACCATCCTTGCTTGTTGGTCCTCCAGTAGTTATTGAAGTTAAAGCACCTGTTATGTTTAACTAACTAGAGTGACATTTGCATAGTGGACCTATCCACCAGTTACCATTGCTTCTGCAGTTAATACTGTGCACATGGACTGAGGGTTTAACTCCTGAACTGTGTACCTCAACTCTACCACAACTAGACCCATTTGAATATTGCAAATACTTCAACTAAAATAGTACAGCTGATTTTTAAAAAATCCAGTCACAAAATAACCCCAGATACATAAGCCTTAATGCAATAATTAAAAAACATGAAAAATCAAGACAGTATAAGACCTCAGAAAAATACCAGTTCCATAATAAGGTATCCAAATGAGAGTGAATTAGATGAAATTTGAGACAAGGAATTTAAAAGAATGATTATATGAATGTTTAATGAAATCAAACGGTATAAATAAACTCTTAGATGAATTTAAAAAAGAA